CATCGTCGTCGTCGTCGTCATCATGGCCGGTCGTACATAAAGGAAATCGATCGATCACGATGTTGCACGATGATCAGCTGAGTGACTCACGTACTCATCACGTGACTGTCAGTCTTTCAAGCTCATTGGCTGTTGTCATCGGGACGATTGTTGATGTTGAAGATGCAGGAGATGTTCGAGATAATGGCGGGGGAGCGTTGATGTTTCTCTTCGAAGGTTTGTCTCCAAGTATTTCTTCACTCATTCCTTCAAGAAATTAAGTTGTACATTTGTTGTAAGCAGATAATGAACGCAGTAACTAGTTGATAATAATTTATAAAATCCTTTTCAATTGTTTCATTTTTCATTTATTTTCCATTATATTGTTTTTTGGCATTCGTCAAAAAAATTTTGCTGATTTAAAAAAATATATAACCAATAACTTAATTGGTTTAATTGATTGAGCAGCATTTGAAAGTTTTTGTCGGTTATGACTAACAACGTAAATATGAAATATGCTTCGACTCTGGAGTTCAAAAAAAATTTCAGATATAATTTTGAAATACCATCCACTATAAATCAACAGTTTTTTCACATTTTTTTGTTTGCCAAATTTTTTGCTTACTTCAAATAAAAATTAATTTGTGTACTTTACAATTTATTCTATTTTTATGTCGATAGATATTACATTAAAAATGTCACAACTGCTATGAGAGCATTGCATTTAAAAATGCACACAACTAAGAATAACCAAAATAAAATGCAGAAGTTCGAGGAAAAAAGTTTTAATTTCTTTCCTAAATTTTGGAAACCAATAAAAATAAAGCAACTGAAAGATTTGAAAGAATCAGCAGCAGCACGAGAAGAAGTAGGAGCAAACATTGAAGTTGGTTGAATTTGGTTGCTTGCAGGAAGCCGATGTGGAATTCTTTAATCAAATGATGCTGTGAAAAAAATTTAATTTTCCTTCTTTATGCTTCTGCCGGCAAATTAAAACACGCAACCGTTCTGTTTTAATTAATAATTCTTCATGTAAGAAATTTATTTACAGGCCTCCATTCGAAGTACGGTTGCTCAAAATTCTGGAAACAAATTTTATTTCAAGCAGATAATGCTAACATAAATAAAAAAAATAAACAGATATAAATACTTGGCAGTACAAATGCGTGCCCATATAAGTACAATTGAAGTTTACGTTATACCAGCAATCCCCCTGTTGCTCATTTGTTATGTTCTCTTCAGTTTTTACGCCAGAACAACAAATGCACATGATTGGCCATGGCCATCTACACACACGCACACACACGTACACACACACATACACATACACACACACATACATACACACATATAAATATACATATGTATATATTTTTCTATTTAAATGATTATAAATGTGTGTGTATGTGTGTACATTATTTTCATTACATGTGTGTGTGTGTGCGTATGCGTGTGTGTGTGCGTGTGCGTGTATGTATGTGTGTATGTATGTGTGTGCGTGTGTGTGGTTATTGTATCCAAGTACCCATTAAATTGTATCTTATAAATTGCAACGTCATGCCTGCTGTATACGTAAGCATTCCTTATTTATGTTGCATTGTATCGCGTCTTTGAAACATTGGGAGATGTTGCGTTAAACTTTAGCACAAACACGTGCAACTAATGTATGCATTTATATGTAGAGTTTTTTAGAGGTCCAGGCCAGATAATAATATGTCGCTCCTAACTTAGTAAAAAAAATCTACTACCTATATTGGCGATAACCTATATGTTGTTTTATGTAGCGGCTTAATTTTATGGTAATCTTATTCTGGCGGAGTATATTGTGTTTAAAATTAAGAGATGAAGTGCAAAGTATTTGAATTAAATTGAATTTAATTATATTCAATCTTCTTGCTACATTTAATTTTCATTAATTAAGGTTAGATGTTGGGTGAATTGAAGAGAACCAACGTAAATTTTGGATGGATTGAATTAGATTGAACAGATATGGAATGATTTGGAGGGTTGGGAGTAAATCAGGGATTGAATTAGATTGCAGAGATATAGAATTATTTGGAAAGCTGGGTGTAAATTAGAAATTGAAATAGACTGAAAAGATATGTGGAGTGAATATGAGGATTTCATTGAGGATTTAATTGAATTGTGGAGAGAGATATAGAGCAAAATGAGGGGATCATTGTAGATTGAATAGAGATAATGAATGGATCGGAAGAGACGCGTGTAAATTAGGAAATGAATTAGATGGAGGAGAGATGTTGACTGAATTGGAGGGGATCGCCGTAAATCAGAGAGATTGAGGTAGAGGGGATTGGAGTGAATTGATCAGATGATAACATTGAAAAGTTGCTTCGCGACGTGACTCCTGTGTGGAGGAATCAGTCACGTGGTGATGATCATGATTGCAAAAATGATGATGCTGATAATGATCGTAACGAAAATGATGATGATGACGACGATGATGATGACGATTATGATGATGAGAAAGAGGATTATGGTGACGATGATGATGACGAAGATGATGACAGAAATAACCATGGTGGTGATTAATATGATTTCCATGTCGTTGGTAATGACGATGGTATCGCCAATGATGATGGTGATGACAATGATGGTGGTGATGAGGAGAAGGAGTAAAAGGATGAAGATGATGAAAATGATTGAAGGAAAAAAAATATCACGATAGCCGAGGGGGCAATAATGATAAAAATGATGGTCATAGGACAACGACAATATTGACCGCAATGACGATGATAAAATGAAATGATGATGACCATGATCATTAGAGTGAGACATGATGATGAGAATGACAATCATTATAATGACGACGATCATGATGAAGAGCAATATTAGAGCAATTTTACATGTGTTACATGTGTGTGTGTGTTTTGTGTGTGTGTGTGTGGTGTGTGTGTGTGTGTGTGTGTGTGGTGTGTGTGTAAATATAACCTGTGAAAACGAAGAACCAAGTTGGATTCGTGTGAAGTTCATGAAGGATGTTATTATCGCACTGATGATTTAACGTCGTAAAATTAGTGTTTTTTTTTAAGAAATGTTTTATTAATCTCATGAGGTCAATTTGAAATGTTGTTTATATTTTAAATATAGTTTCTAGTTTATCTTGACTTTTGGTAAGAAACAATCTAAGTAGATTGCAGATTTAATTTAGATTTGCTTGAACTTTTTGGTGAGTTATATACGTAATTGTAGAATGTGTACATAGGTACATCATATTATATTTTTTAATTTCCAATTCAGGAAAATAAAACCATAGAACGACGTAAACAACGATTATTGAATTTAAATAATCATTTGAATAGAAAAAAATAAATATGTTATAAAAAAATAAAAGCAAAATAGATAAATATCAACCAGAGCATAATCACAATATCGACCATACAATACAGACATAGACGTTTTAATAGGGAGAACGTTTTTCAAGTTTTTGTATTCAAGCGGAAGTAGAAAGGTCAAAAGGTCAAGAAGTTGAATACAAAAGTTTAAAAAAATTCTCTACCGCTATTTATCATTCTCTTCTTTTAACCTCCCGTGTTTGCCCGCTTAAGTTCTCTAATATTACTCTGATGATATTATTCTATTAATAATTTATTCATCATTTTATCTTATTATTATTGTTAATATTATATCGATATTATTATTATTATTATTAGTAGTAGTAGTAGTAGTAATAGTATTAGTAGTAGTAGTAATAGTAGTAGTAGTAGTAATAGTAGTATTAGTAGTAATAGTATTAGTAGTAGTAGTAGTAGTAGTAGCGATAGTATTCATAGTCGTAGTGTAGTAGTGGTAGTAATAGTAACAGTAGCGTTAGAACTTTCCTTAGAAGCAGCAGTAGTAGCAGTAGCAGCAGCAGAAGCAGAGGTAGTAGCAGTAAGTAGCAGTTGTAATAGTGAAATGAGCCGGTAGTAATTTATTAACTGTACTACTACTCATAACAATAAAATTATGTCGGTGAGAAATTAAAATAACAAACAATACTTAGATTTTCAAAACGAAATTCAACAAATTTTACAGCAATAATGTTGCCAGTGCGATAGCAACAATGTTGCGGCTGTCCTGGCAACAAAAAGCATTTGCTAACCTGATAGCAACAACAACAAAATTGTTGCGAATACTTCTACAATGTTGCCATCTCGAGGACTGACTGCAAATTTGACTTGCTGGTCGATATCTCCGTGATAGGAACCAATATTAAGTTGCAGCACGGACGCGATAAATTTCTCAGTGCAACTTCTCACGATTTCTTAAGCTTGTACCTTTCTCAACAATTGGTTTCGCAGAGTGTCAATGCTTTATCATTACAAATTTTACAACATCACTATTTGAACCAACATTAAACAAATCATCTATATAAACGATGCAATGTAATGTGATGTGATGCCTTGTATTGTAAGGTGATGTAATGTAATGTAGTGAAAACTTGTTGCAGAATGCAGCAAGTTGCTGGCTACCACATTAATGTCGTCAAAGTTTTGTGGCTGTTCACGTAAATTGACGCCGGTTGGCAAACATCAATGAAGTTTTGTTGAGATTTCATTGCTATATATGTTCAGCTCTCCCTGGCGAGGCATTATTCAAATCTCTTTATAGAGCACGTCTGTCTGCTGCGTGTGTGAAGATATCATAAATGGTGCAATGCATGTGTGTGTGTACGTGTGTGTGCGTGCGAGTGTAGTGTGGTGTGTTTGTGTGTATGTATGTATGTATGTATGTATGTTATGTGATAGATAGAGACAAAATTCATGATTATATAAATATAAAGAAAGAGGCTTGGGTTATGTATGTGGGCTTGAAAAGAAAAATGTTGTTTGGGTTATGTATGTGTGTACGGATGTGTGTACGTATGTGTGTATGTGTGTAGATATGTTTGTTTGTAGATATGTATGTTTGTATGATTGTAAGATTGTACGGCATGATTCTGCATTGTGCAACTGTCGGCTTCTACGTGTTATTGATACTGCTGGGTCCTGGATTATGCCGTCAACCGCTGACGTCTGCGTTCACTTGGCGCTACCAGCTCCATTGTTAATGGGTTTCTCCATTGTTGTGAAAAATGCCGGTTTTGATGAAGTCGTTGGTGGTTGAGGTCGATAATGTAGTGTTGGTGTGGTGGTGGTGGGGTTGCAGTAGTGGTGGTGGCAGTCCGGAGGGGGTTGCTTGTGGTGGTAATGTTTTAGGATGATGGTAGTGATTGCACAACTGTGGTTGTTTTTGTGGAAAAATTATTGCAGCATGCTGTGGTTTTTCTGGAAATGTTTCTGGAGGAATGGATTTCTGGTGCTGTTTTGTGTCAACTGTTTTTTTTTGTTTTTTTGTTTTGATGTTAAAACAATTTTTCGATTAAATATAATCTTTTTTTAAGATTATATTTGCTTCTAAAACATTCGACTTTTTAAGGTGGCACGTAACCTAAGTAACTAAATTAAAAACATCATTGAATTAATAGATCACAATTTTTTATTTGACATAATTGTTGGAAAAATACCTTAAACACATCAGATGAACATTGGCCGTTCATTTTCTTAAAAAAGAATGTTCGTCGTTTTATGGTAACAATAAATAAAATTAATCACTTAAAGATCAGATAAGCATGTGTGTGTGTGTGTGTGTGTGTGTGTGTGTGTGTGTGTGTGTGTGTTTGCGTGTGTGTGAACGTGTATGTGTGTGTGTGTAAATTAATGTATGTGTGTGTGTGTGTGTGTTGTGTGTATAGAGTATTTTTTGTTTAAAAAATGTATTAAAAGTTGAAAAGTAAAAGAGTATAAATTGATATGGTAACACCGCCATTGAGACCAAACGAAAAACGAAACTCTTCTTCAAAATGATTGCAATGGCAACATTAAATTGTCCCAAAAAATGAATTTTACTATTTTATTTTCATTCGTTTGAAATAATTTTTTGTTTTATTAGCTTTCAATTTTTGTTTGATTAGCCTCACACACGTAACTGCAGCGTGATGTTTTGTTGGAAGATTTTTAGGCGGGCGGGCGGGCTGTGATTAGAGAAGAGTCGTCGTCATGAAATCAAGCAAAAATTGTAACAAAGCAAGTCGCTTAGTTATGAGTTCATAAAGAATGAAAGAAATAGAACAAGTAAAAGATGTCGAAAGTAATGTTCGTTTGTTCGTTCGTTTGTTCGTTCGTTTGTTTTCTGTTTGTTTTTCGATAAACATTGAAGTAAATACTATTACAAACATGTGACAAGCGTGTGCATGAACGTACGAACGACAAATATGCGTGTGAAGAAATGCACGCAGCGATATCTAGACAACATCACATCACATCCACAACCATCAACAACCATAACATCCTCTTCACTAATTATTCTGTACATAGGCATAGCATACAACGTCACATACACAAACAACAAATACAACATAACAAACGCGTACAACATCACACAGACATACAACAATTACAACATCATATTCACATATATAAAACACAGAGATACATTTCGTCGAAATAGTTTATAGATTATCACAATATGATTGAGCGAGCTAAATTACACGCGCTCTGCAACTTTAGAACCTTGCAAAGGTTTATGCATGACAATAAATAATAACTTGGTGACAGTATTTCAATAATTTTTAACATTTTTGTTACTGCTACTACTACTTTTACTACTACTACTACTGCAGTTGCTGCAATTTTTACCACGATTAAACCATTATTTTTACTATTATTAATATTTTTATTATTTTATTTTTATTAATAATAATAATAATAATATTATTATTATTATTACTACTATTACTACTACTACTACTTCTATTATTTTTAGTTTGTTAAAATTTACAAATTGTTTCTCTTTACTGTAATATTTTAATAGCACGTTTTCCACTTAAAAACTTGCCAATTACTTCACGATGAATTCCAATGGTCACTAAATGATGAATTGTGCAATATTGAAATGTCATTCCAGTGATTTGCTTATTTGATGCAAGCGGCTGATTGTCTGTGAGGACATTTTTCAAACAATGGAAGCAAATATATACTTTCGCATCATCTGGTAGGTTCGATGAAGGCATGATGCTTCCCATGTCTCCAGATGCCATGTTTTGTTTATTTGCATCTGTGTTGAGGTTCGTGTGTAGGGTTGGCCGTGTGTGTTTTTTCTATCGGTTCAAATGTACTTTACGGGTTTTGTATGTAATTGCACGCGTCAGTATGTGCGTTACATGTGATGGTGTGTTTGCTTTCACTTTTCAAGGAGGTATGCATGAGATTGTATGCGTTTGTATGTCTGTATGTAGTTAATGAATTTTGATGAATGTTTTGGTTTATTTGAATATTTTGTTTGCATTCATGAATTGTTGGTTGGTCATTTACATCTGTATGCGTCTCCGTGAAGTTCTGCTCGGTTTTTATTGAAAGCAGAAGAATAATTTTACTTTGAGGATGTAAATATGACTTGGGTTGCTGCTTGAGATGTTGAATTTGTTGCATGACAATGAAACATAAGAAGACAAATTTATGAAAGTTCTCAAAGTGGGGAGTTCGCTGCCATTGCAGTCAATGCTATCTATGAAAGTTATTTGAACAAGATAAATAAGTTAAAACAACAAAATTTTAAAATTTTCAACAAAAATAATGTAATTTAAAAATTATTTCATTAAACGTTGAACGTTTAATATTAATAACAATAATATATGTAATTTTAAATGAATTTTAGTTCGCACCAACAACTTCATTGATAAAAATATTTTGACAGTAGGCTTCAGTTGTGTTTGACTTGTCAGTGGATGAATATTTCACGAGATAAATTGATCCTTCGGCAAAACCAACAAACATGAAAAACATTTAAAAACTAAAAATACCAAACCTGCCACAAATATAAAATTAAAAAGTACATTTCATATAGAGAAAAAAAACAACCAGGTCACGGAAACTTTCAATAAAAATGCATTTTTAAACTTGAACAAAACTTAACTTAAGTGAACATCTGCAAATAAGTCCCTATATTGTGAGAACAAAAACAACGGCACCGGGAGAACAAAGAGGACAGCGATCGATTATATGAGCAGTCGAAGATATATCGTGGCGCAAGTCCATGCAATGAAGTCTGGGTCAGTACTTGCAAGTCATCCATTTCAATAAGTCATGAATGTTTGCTGAGATTGCAAGCCTGCATTGTGTTGAGATGTGTTCAAGAAGAACATGGCATGCATTCTTTCACGCTTTATTTCTTTCATTTCAAATGAAAACAATCTTTCCAAAACATTTTTGAACTTACAAAAGTGTTGGGCGTTTGCTTTAGAGTTTTTTTTATCCATCAAATATCCCGAACAAATTATTTTTTTAGAATTTAATGTTGTTCAACTTTACTGTGCCGAATAATTGGTTCATCATTGTTTGTTTAAAATAATTCTTAAAAAATTTTTATTTTTTCCCATAAAAGGCATTAAATTTCAAAACAAAAATCTTGCACGATAATCAACTGCACCTTCCACGCAGCCGTCGGCTGTCGAGACATCCAGTTGTTGGACGAGACGTACCACGTGACGTACTCCAAGGACAAGATGACTGCCAATTTGAAATGCAAGGTCGACGAAAGGTCATGGACACTCGTGTGCAACAACAAGAGTGGCTGGCAAGGATTTGTTGGCAACTGCACGTCGCATTCGAACGTTGTGGGCAGCGGCAGATCCGTCATGAAGGATTCTGATTCAGGTGAGGACATGAGTGTTACCTTATAAGAGGTAGATGGTGGTTGCCCGTGTTTAATTACACAATTTTAATTTACCTGTATAAATTAAAATTAGAATTATAAATACTTTAATGTTATTGTTGGCTTATATAATATATCAAGAAATGTTGGTGGTTACATCTCCTGCTAATGACTAGGTACGTATCCATATCCTGCTGTTATTGTTCAAACAAATTATTCAATAGTTACATCCATAAACTTGTGATCAAAAATTTAAAATCTGCTGACATGAAATGTTTAATAACTGATAATATTACCCCTTACAAAACTACCAGACTGAAAAACAGTATCAATTTCATAATTAATGATCAATTTTCAAGGTCTTGCTCTATCGATATTTATTTTTATTTCTAAACCAAAATATTCAGACTCTACAAAATTTTATTCAGAGCCACTATTTTATTTCATTTTATCTTATCTATTTCTTTTTATTTTACCCTTATCTTATTTAATTGATTAGATTTGATTTTATTTCGATTTCTAACTGATGCTCGTCCAATAGAACAACGAATAAAGGCTCTTGAAGAATGTGTCTTGATAAATTGTCCCCTTAGATAAATCACCAAATCGCGTGACAACAAATTTAAACTTTTAATTTAATTTAATTTTATTTTATTTACCTTTCATTACAGATTGATTAGAGAGCATTTATCTTCATTGGAAATATTGAGAAAATTATTTAGTAAAAAAAAATAATAACCATACGCAAAATGTTATTATCAATAGAATGGCTCTTAAATAAATTTTTTACTAAAATAGATTGACTATTCAAGATGTGTTAATAATATAAACTGGCAGGTGTTTTGTCGACGGCCAGCCTCTCATACTCGAAGTTGAAAGTTACTTCAGGTAACATGTGTCTCGTGAGATACTCTTGCTGATGCTGCTAATGTTTTCTGTTGTTGATGTTGCTAATGTTTTTTGATGCTGATGTTATTTCATCATGAAATGTATAATTGCAAAAAGATATTTGAATTAAATAAAGCTGTAGTTGCAGTCATTGTGGTTGGAGTTTCGGTCAGCGTCAGCATGTGTGTGCTAGTTCTCGGACTACTTTTCCTTAAAAGGTCATTAGCTTTTGTTATTATGTTATGTTGCCCTCGCCAACTTTGCTAATGTAATTACTACTAATTAAGCTTGACTTTAGTTTTATAAACTTAATTAATTTAAGTAATTAAATTTAATCGATAGTTACCAGTGAGAAATGAAAAATATTAAATATTAAATGTATGTTTGCTCTGCTGTCCTCGGCAGGTTTATATATGCAGTCTAATTTTAAAATATTTCAGTTTCAACAAAGTGCATGTCAGTTAGATGAAGGTTGTTGAATATTTTTTTAACAGCATAGACGTCAGGGTTAATCAGTTTATGAACACGTGTTTAAGAAATATAAGAACGTTAACAAGCAGAAGTATAATGGTGATGCCGACTCTGAGTCATGCATGAAATAGGATCTTAATTCTTCTTTAATATTTAATAAGCACTCACCACTCAAACACAAAATTATTGTCGCTTATAACAAAAAAAATGAAGCTGATTTACACAACAAAAATTTAATAAAAATATTTAATATTAGATTTTCTTGCTGTGAAAAACTAATATTTCAATTTTTAGCACCAGCCAGCCACTGTCGGTTGATCAGTGCGGCGTTACATATATTCATTAAGGTTGCCATTTTATTTTTATTCTAAAGGCTGGTTCCTAATGAGATTGAACGAACGTAATAAATTCAAATATTTTGTATTTAAAAACAACATTACAAATAACTTTTAAAACATTTTTAATTAATTTAATTGTTATCATGTCCATCAGTTACAAATTTGTTGGACTGAGAGGAGTAGTAAACTGCCTGAGCTGGAAGCTCAGTTGTTTTATGCTTCTAAATATTCATCACACAAGTCCAAAATGTCAAATAAATGAAATGAAAAATTCATCACAGTCAACTGCTTTTTCAACAATGCATAAATTCTAGAAAACTCAAATGAATCTATCGAGTTAAGCAGCATAATTGCTGTGTTCTAATCCATTGTAGATAATTTCTTCTTCTAAATTGGTATTTATCTAAGTACGCATCTGTTAAACGTTTAAGTTAATTTCCTGACATTTGGCTTACTTTTCGGAAAGTTTCGTATTTAAGTTTACACAATTGGTTTAGTGTCATTTATTTTTAAACGAATTGTGTTTTCAACAAATTTTTTATAATTTTTTAAAGATTATTTTCTTATAAGCTATATTTTGGATTTAAAAATGTGTGGCTCATTGATGGATGAATAAAATGAGCATTGACTTTTATGTTTTGTTTATTCAACACGAAAGATTTTCAGTCTGATTTTTAGTGGGAGACCTGATAAACGAACAAATTCTTGCATGTGCACGATGGTAAAGTTTGTTTTTGAACTCTGGCAATCTAAATTCAACATTTCAGTTACCAAAAAAATTTTACCTTCCAGCATTTGCATCAATTAAAAAAGTCTGAAATTGCCAAGTGACCTGTCATTTTTTTTATAATGTAAGTCACTCAATGCAACTCTACTAAGTTTAATTTCATTAAAAAACTTTAAATGATAAAAATTTATGTAAACTACATTTAAAGGATCGTCAACATGCAGACGAAGACTTACAAAGTGTTGTTTCTGGTTTAGTGTTAAGAAAGTTGCTAGTATTTTAGAAATATCGGTGGAGTTAACGTTATTTTGAAAAAGTCAATTGTTCCGTCTCGATTGATTCTTTTCAAAACCAATCTCATTACGATCTATTATTTATGCGTTTAAGAAACAACTCACTTTCTTTTTTCTGAAACATTATTTTAAAGAGTTTCGGCAAAAACTGGAGATAAATTATTTCTAAAAAAAAAGGTATATGATATCTAATTTAACTAGGAAATTGACCGGTGTGTTTAAATTTATTTTTTTGAGACTTTTTTTTTGTCACATGATGTCCAAACGGAACATTAAATTGATGGAGCTTTATTCTTAGTTGACTGATTTTATTAAATTAAAATTTAATCTCGATATAATCAATCCAACTTAAAAAATTTCTTTAATTCGATGAAGTGAATGAAGATGCAAAATGCATTGGGGGACTCTTGATGACCTTTTTTAATGAGGAGCTCATTTTCATGAAATATTTCTTGCAGGTCGTTCGGTTCATATCGCCAATCACTTCTTCGTTTCTTCGTCTTAAAAAAGTTTGAGAAAATGTTGTGACAGTTAGTTTTTAATAGTAGGTTTGCTTTCTTATACAAATTTAAAAAAAAAACAAACAAGATAGGATAACTAGTGTATGCTTCTCTGTGTGAGTCGACTTGTTACTCCGACTTCAACTATTATAAATTTTTTTTTTTCTTAAATTTTGTTTAGTTTTCTAATCCAATCCCTCCCCTAATCGCAACACAACTGCTCGTAATTTTAATTATTGATATAATTTTTAAAATTCTGACAAAACAACTCAAGAAATATATCAGTGGTGGATCCAAAAGAGTGGATCCAACCAAACCATGAAAGAGAAAAATTTAGAAAATTTAGTATTAACGTAAACGGTAACTAGATAAAAAAAACGTCATCATACTTGAAACTTTGAATATCGTTTGGAGTTTTAAAAATCATCCTCCCAACGCTAACTTCTGTATCAGCCACTGAATTTATTAGTCAGTTTTTAAACAGACTCATTATTTTTCAACTCAACAGATAGCATAAGGAAATTAAATAATTTAAATTGTTGTGAATATAAAAATTAAAAGCCTTATATTTATTTGGCAGTTGTTAAAAATCTTCGATTGCCGAATATAAAAACTGTTCATCGGTTTTATTAGTTTCTATTTTAAAAAATATTTATTTCAGAAAATTTTGTCGAACTGAATCAAAACTAGCCTTATATTAGTGTTCAAACTTTCCGGTGCATTAATTATTGTCGCAAAATTTGTTTGAACATTAATTTTCTATTTGCCTAGCAAATTTTGAGTTTGAAAAAACTCAATGATGTGTTTTATGTAATCATATCAGGATACGTTATTTTTTTAATTTGTATTTTAACTTTTACAATGCTTATTCAACTTTTGCCTTCGTATTTTGTAAAAGGATCACAAGCCCTTAGACAGTAATGCTGATGGAAATAATGGTTGTATTGTAATGTGTTAGACCTATATCAAGAAAGTTCACACTTTTTGTGCCAACTGAATGTTTCAAAAAGTTTCTTTTAATAACGCTAGTTAAATGTTTTCAAAAATTGTAACAAATCAGAAAGAATATTTGTTATAAACTAAAAAAAACTTCTCATTTCAGTTCAGAAAATATTTAAAAAAATGATCAGTCACTAACTCTGTTAAATCCCCAAATAGCATGAATCTCACCGGCTAGCATGAATGAAATAATTTTATTACTTTCGCACAAGGGTGGGCAGACTTTTTGTTATGAGGGCCGCTTTAATAACCATTTTAACTTTGAAGGGCCGCATATGTACTTAAATAGCAAATTTTTTGACCCGTGGGAGAATTTTTTTAAGATTTGTGGTTCTTTTTTTTGGTCATTGTGTCTGGCTGACGACCTTTTTTAGCAAAGAAGGCCTCGAGGGCCGCATAAAATAGTAGTTTGCCCACCTCTGATTTATCAGAACATTTTGTTTATAACAAATTACAACAACGTCGTCAAAAACAACTCGATGTATAAAACAAATACAATACAGAAAATAAATTTGCCTTACTGAATTTAACGGGATAAACATTGCAGCGCCATTTAGCTAACAAACAATTTGAAGCTTTTAATCCTTTCATGTGATGATGTTCTACTTTTTGCAAATTTTCAAAAAAAACTTATCCTGTTTTGGCCACTCGTAATATATTCAATATTTTACTCCAATCCATTACGTAATGTCATTTATCCGTACCTTGATCAGTTTTCCATGTTACCTCTTCCAGTTTTGTAATGCAGTAAATCTCCATTTTACTTGAATGAGTAGGTAACAACAGAACCATCCGCCAGCATAACGTTCTGGTCAGATGCACAACTGCACACATCGACCACGTACAAAGAGAGAACTCGTGTAGAATGCAGAATGTGGTTGTATGTAGACGAGAAGCCTGTATATAACGACCTGCCAAGATGAGTTGGACACTTAAAGTTGATTGAAGCCAACGAAATGTCCAATGAGCCAACCAATATAAAGTTTTATTAAGGAGAGGATTTTTTATATTCACAAGCTTATCCTGGATAGTTAGGCAGGAAGAATTTAAGACGCTAACAGTAATTGGTAGCGGTGTTTTATGGCTTGTTATTTATTTATACAAGGGGCATTATATCAATATAACGCAGGTCACATACTCATTCCTACGTTTAATGAAATTTTCTACTCGCTTGGCTTTTATCTATCTATGGTTTTGTTTAAGGAAAACTGATAAATTAAAGTTTTGTACGATCTGTTCTTTTATAGATAAATTAAACAGAAAAATAATTAAACAACACCAAGCACATTGTATTTTAACTTTAATTTATCAACATGTTAACGTCTTGAAAATATTTTAATTAATTTTATAATTTAGAGTTCTCTCAAACAAATCAATTAGCCAACTAACTGCAGAATAATTAACGGCCAAACTGCAAAACGTCTAATTGAAAATAAAATTTTACAATCATTTTCATAACCTGAAACGCCCAATGCAGAAGGTACAACATAGCAAGCGGTCCACGCGCCAACAATCCAAACTACCAACTGAAAACTACAACCACGTTTTCCGCATCGGGTACGACATTTTCAACACCCATCGCATCCTTTTCCACACCAAAGTCTCAAGATCACGTCCATCTCTGCCAGCAGCAGCAGCACAACAACGACAACATCACCGACGAACATTTCGACACCATGTCAACCAGCAACACAAAATGTTTCCACGTTGACAGCGATAACTGCTGCCATCAATTATCAACTTCCTTATTGGATACAAGCAAACGATCCTACACGAGCCAGACGTCAACTCTACCCGCCTACATGCCTTACATGTCGTCGAACCTCCACCAGCCGTCTTCGCATCTCCAGTTACAGCAACATTCTTTCTATTTCAACGAATCATACATCCCGAGAATACAAAACATCTGCATCAAGCAACATTCCTGCAACTGCCCGAGAAGGGATGTCGACGCGAGTACCTCCGACAAACGATCGAGGAACTGTTTGCTCAACGACCAACCGGCACAGGAAGAGGACGAGGACATCATGATCCCAGCAGCGAACAACAACGTACAAATTAATTGTAAAACAATTGAAATCGCACGCAGCTCTTCGACGTTCAACCTTTCACAAACGAACAGTCGAAATAATATTCCAGATTTCTTAATCACTTCAATAGCGGAATAAACTATTTAATTAATTCGTCATCAAAAGTTGTCATCCTTCAATATAAATATCATTTACAATCTTGGCGTAATTTTACATAAAATAAAACTTCATTAAAATTGATCTCTTTTTATTAAAAGTATAATTCGTCATTGATCAGAGTGTAAATAAAATCAACAATGAAAAAATTGTTAAAATTGTGTTGTGTTATTATTGAACATAAAAAATTTGTATTTCATTCAAAGTCTGAGGCTTTATGGTTTTTGGACTTTTTTTTCTTTGCTTTTTTCTTTTTCGGCTCTCCATCTTTATCACTTTTGTGATGATGACTTCGTCTTTGCACCTCATCATTATCCTCATCTTCATTACCTTTATGATGATGTTTTCGTTTTCGTGTGCCAACATTATTCTCATGTTCATCATCTGTACCATGATGATTCTTTTTCCGTCTGCCACTATCATCACCATCGTCATCATCTTTGTGTCGGCCTTTAACTTTTTTGTGCTTTTGTTCCTTCAGGCCTTCACTTGAAGTGGCATGTTTTTTCTTTTTTAATTTCGATGTGGGAACCGAAAGGTCAGTTGTTGTTGAATCGCTCGCTTTTTCGCTCAATCGTCTTTTTCTGAAATGAAAATAGAAATCAGAAGTTTTATAATAAGAAGTTTTTTGAAGACGTTTAAAGAAGATAATTTAAAGTGTCGATCAGTTTGTAAATTAGTATAATGTCGCAAAACAGGTAGAAAGTTTTGATTGAAAAGTTCAAATTGCACAAATGCACCCTCCCTCCAATTATCAATGCTTAAGAAAGAATTCAGAACAATATAAAAATATCTGCTAATATGAGCACACCACGTTTCCAACAAATTTAAATGGAATAAGAAAAAACAAGTCATCCAAGTATTAAGATTAATAGCCCATCAACAGTCCTTTTAATCAAATAGTCATCCATGAACTAGTTAAAACAGAAAAAATTTGAATCAAATAATGACAGCAAATAACTCTTTCTGTAATTTGCAGATTTTAATTGTCTCAACTTTGGTTTTTTGTAGAAGCCAAATTTAATACCTTGACCTTGTATGAAAAATAAATATCAGTGACCAAGAAACTAAAAAAATGAAAAAATTGAGTAGCTAATAAATACTTTAAAACTTTGTGAACATACAAAATATATGAAACAGTGTGCAAACAAAATATAAAAATTCAATAGTCCAAAATAAAAATATATTACTTTTTTTTCTTCTTTTTCATTTTATGTGAAGAACTCGATAAATCTAAAAAAATTATAAAATATAAAATCTATTTTCATTTAATATACAGCAATGCAAAATTTTCTGAATGTCAAAATATAGATTCTACAATAAAGGAAGTGGCAATTTTGAAAAAATAAAATTAAAAAAAATACTGTTTAATTAAAACTAAAATAACAGACCTTTATTCAATTTTTGTAAAGGAGAAATGAAATTATCATCCTCATCATCTGATGATTCTGAACTCGTACTGCTTATATCGAGCACAATTTCTTTGCTAGGGTCTGCTTTCAAGAAGTTTCGACACTGAAATGTCAAATGGCCTGCTGTTATTTCAAAAATTAACAATTTGTCAATTAAAGACAAGGTCATCAATTTATTAATGGAATGGTTATTTTTTAAATTAATATATTTTTATAAATACAATTTTGAATTTTGAGAGTAGTTAATGTACTTTAATTTTTATTATATTTTGTAGTTCAACATAAAAATAAAAGTTAAAAAATATTCAAAATTTACATTTAAAAATTAATAAAAATAAAGGTAATTGAAAAAGTGAATTAATATTGAATTATTTATAATTTATTAATACAGTAAAAATTAATTAAATCAAAATTCAGAATCAAAATGCCTCTCTCTACCATAGCCACATTTTCTACAGGATGTCCTCAAATGTTGATTTGCACTGGATTTGCCAAGAACACCTGCATAATTAAATAATTTTTCAATCAAATTCAAATGAAATTTAATTTTTAATTTAGGTTCAAGAAAATAAAAAATAAAGAATTTGAATAAGAATAATAAGATAACAGTAAGTTTTTTGATTTAATAAAGTTTTAAC